AACAGTTAGTATGTGTTGATGCATATGCAACATACATATCATATATCTTTTGATAGAGATGTAACAATTTATGATATGAGGTGGACTGATGATACCTTATCATCACCTTTAAGAATTTCGAGATATGGGTTGCCATTTCTTTCCGACAGATTTGACTCAAATCGGTGTGGGCCTCCATATGTACGTCATAATATGTATATATTGTGGATATATAATCAGTAATTGTTGGGGGAGTTACTGGGCAATACTGTGGCTTAAAGCTCAGCAGTATTTCTACTTGTTTTGGTACCATTAAGGATGTTAAGTTTTTTAATCCACCGGGTGAGAGTGAGAGTATAGTATATCAGGGATTTAATTATGTATGACTGTAATGAGTATTTGGGGATATGATAATTCAGATATATGAGTTTGAAAATTTGTTAGTCCTGTGGAGGATGCGTGTTGATTGTATAGGGATTTTAGTGGTATTAGTTATTGTAGGATCTGCAGTTAGTATGATAATTGGCAATAATATTGTGATTATATTGCGAAAGACTAAAGCCTGTTCAGCCCCTTCAGCATAGGCACACATACATAAATTTTGTTTTTATATATTAAAAAACATAAAAAAAACTTGTTTGTACTAAAACTACACGAATGAAGACTTTTAAATTTATATTTTATTGGTAAAATTATTAAGTGTGTTACTTAGTGTGACTTCTAAATCTTCTAAAAAGAGCTTTAGAGCATCAGATCTTGTGTTTATGTTTGCTTTTCACTGTGGCGCGGTGAATCAAATACCACTTTGGATTTAGCGGCACAGGATGTTTATGTTTACATTATTGATACTTATTAATTATTGTTCAATATAGATATTTATACATTGCTGCCAATATAGATACTTATACAAATTAATTAAATCAAATGCGTGTAATGTTTTTTAAAAATATTTTATTTTATTTAATTAAATATATATATATGACATGTTACAAAATTAATTATTCCGAAAAGGTCGGTTTCAAGACTTAACGTGTTGAATACTTGCACTAGACTGACTCTTAAAGTTTTTGTCTTCAATAACTGAAGTCATTATTGAAAATTATTAAATTTGATTTTATCCAATTAGATTCAGGCTTCTAAAATTCCTAAGAATTTTCTAGAAGCGTCTTTCCTCCATCCAATAGAATTGGGGCTTACTAAAGCACATCGTCAGCGTCTTTAGCATTGTCGTCAGTGGCCAGATGACGATATCTGTGTCCAATAATGATTGAACAATTCATTGATCAAGTATTTCAAATGATACTTGATACGTTTTCTGCAACTTAGTTGCATCTTTAAAGAAAACAATTTTGTTTTCCTTTGCAACATTGTTGCCATATGTAGTATGGGCATTAAGCCTGAATGTGTTTATATGAACGAGCGCGACTTATATTTTTATTCACTTCGGTAAATAAAAAAAATAAAACACACACAAATTTTAATTTTTATTAAAATTTTATTTCATTTTATTTGGTTTAAAAAAAAAACAAATTTTATTATAAATGAAAATTATTTAATAATTATATATTTGTTCACTTAGGTGGAATCTTAAGACTTATTATATACTTTGGTTAATATTTATTTTACAAAGCATTTATTTATTGTTGTATCAAAAAATCTTTATTTTACAAGATATTAGTTACCAACTTTAACTTCGGTTCAAGATATCTTAAGACTAAATTCTAAATACAAAATCAATATCTTATATACTACTTACAAATCATAATTGGCGAAAGTGGATGAGAGGTAACAA